AAACAACCACAGTCGTTGGGCATCAAACGCAGTTCCTGTCCGAAAGCATGACAGCAAAGATCAGTTTTGCATTACGAACAACTATATCGGAGTCAACAAGCTCACTGTTCCGATAGCGGGAACGATGCCGCATTTCTTTACTGTTCTTCAATTCGTAGCCGGTGCAAAGTATCTCGCCAACTTTGATATGTTCAAGGGTTTCTGGCATATGGAAATGGCCCCTGAGTGTCAAGATTTCTTCAGTTTTATGACTTACGATGGAGTCTACTCGCCACTTAGAGTGCCACAGGGAGCAACCGATTTGGCGCTCCATTTCCAGAATCAAATGCAAACCATCTACAGCCGCTGCTTTACAGCGGCACTTTGGTGTGGATTGACGACGTGATCGTGCACGGCACTACGAAAGCATTGTTTTGTTCGAACCTGAAAGAGTTCTATAAAATGACGGAAAAACATCAACTGAAGCTAAATGCGATGAAGAGCGTGTTGCTCAGCGATGAAGTGAAGTGGTGTGGGCGCATTCTTGATGGAGAAGGTGTACGCCATGACCCAGACCATCTCTCAGCATTGGTGGCATTGCCACTGCCAAGAACGGCAGCAGATCTTCAACGGTTCTTTTGCGCGTGCAATTGGATTCGTGATAGTGTGGTGGATTATGCCAGAGTGACTGAAGTGCTTCAAGACAAGTTGAATGGAGCGCTCGCCAATTGTAGTCGTACGAAGCGATCAGCAGCGGCGGTTCAGCTTCAATGGCTTGATGAAGAACGTGCAGCGTTTAATGCTACTCTTCACTCCATTGCATCGTCGGCTAAGCAATAATATCCGGAAGAGAAGGTCACGTTGTGTCTGTTGGTGGGGAGGCAATTATTGTCACTCAAGTTCGCCATTCGAAAGAAGCCAGCCATCCGACTGACCAAGACCATGAGCTGCTGATTTGTCAAGGCGGGATCTTCAGAGGAGCGCAACTACACTAGTCTGTAGTCGAGGAGGAAGCCTAATCTGTGGTTTGAGCCTGCGTCTCGCTGGATTACCTCTTGGAGTGAGAAAGAAGTTTCCAGATGTACTGCGATCACAAGAACCTGGTGCAAGTTTTCAGTCCTCCCGACGATATCAAGAACCACACGCGTGGAAAACTCCTGCGATGGGCTCTACAGATTTCAAACATAAGATTCACTATCGAGCACATTGAGGGTGTGAAGAATGTCTGGGCTGACATTGTTTCAGAATGGACGCCGCCAATCGCCACCAATCAACCGCCAGAAATCTGTGTTCGAGTTGCGCGTGAGGATGAACAAGACACCGTGTCACAGCTGTGGCCTCTCCAAGACGATAAGTTCGTATGGCCAAGTGTTGAACACATCATGTAGGCGCAGAAGAAGGACCCGATCGATGGTCTCGAAGTTGGGGATAATGGCATGTATTTGAAAAAAAACAAAGTGTGGATTCCTCCAGAGTCGGAAGAACTTGTGGCACGTATCTTCACGGTTGCACATTGTGGTGTTCGTACTCACCGTGGGGCAGATGTCATGTTCTTGGTGTTGAATCGCGAGTTTGCAATTGAAAATCTGCGGTCCAAGGTCAAGGAATTCGTGAGCCGTTGCCTATTGTGTAAGCATGTAAAAGGAGGCATGCTCATTCAACGCCCATGGCACTCCACACATACAGCTACTCAAAGAAGCGAACTTCTCCACATGGACTTCTTATACATAGGAGAAAGTTACGGCAGCGCCAAGTATGTGCTGGTCAAGAAAGATGACCTCTCAGATTATTGTGAGCTTGTTGCAAGAGAGCGTGCCAATTGGCTGGTAGCGACCTCCGCGATGTGAGATTGGTACTAGAGGTTTGGGCCCCCGCAGACCTGGGTCTCAGACACTGGGTGTCATTTCCGCAACACAGTGATGGAGGATTTAATTGGT